GCGTGTGCCGCAACCGCTAAGATCACCTACAGAGCCTCAGGGCCTGTCCACCCTTTCGGGTGTCGACCTCCTGCGGGTGCAGCAAGCCAATGCACTCTATGCCGCAGTCGGGCAGATTGTTCGTCGTTGCATTGCACTTGCGGTGCGGGTGTCCGTGGAGAACCCGCTCAACTCTCTCGCGTGGTTGTGTGATGGCATGGACGATCTGTTCCGCCTGGGCCTCGGCGTTGAGTCTGTCTTCGACCATTGCAGTCATGGCGGCTCGCGGCTGAGGAGGCGGCTTACCCTTGGCTCCTCTGTCAACGAGTCGCTGCTCTTCTTGTCGAAGCGTCCACTGGCCTGTCCAATTCTTGCCAACTTGTGCGGCCACCTGAGCAAATTGCGCTGGAACGACAGCTACGCTATGCCAAACCGTTGGTTTCTGCATTCCGCGGCCATGATTCATGGGCAATTCCCCTCAATGATGAGGGCGCTATTGCAAGCCTCCTCACCTCTTACCCCAAAGGGTCACGGGTTCTTAAGCGCAAACTGTTGCCCTGGGGTTTGGTTCGGGTTTGCGTGCCTTCTAAGTTCCCTGAGCTGGATGTTGCAACTTTGTCAGCAAAATTCCATTCATCAAAAGTGTTTTGCAAGGAACAGGGTTTCTGCAACGATGCAGACGGCGCACTCCCGGGGGATGAGGGCACTTGCTGGGTCACTGGTGAAGTTCACCCTAGTAATCTTTGTGCAGAGCATGCGGAGGTGATTCAAATTGGCATCCCAAGGGAACCTGAGGACTTCATAAGAGGGGCTGTGAAGGCTGGCCATCCCAGGGATATGCTGTCTTTTCACAAAAAAGGCCACGCGCAAAGAGTCGCTCAAGCGGTGCTTGTATCCTTCGATGACCGGAAGATCAAGGCGAGCCAATCCTTAGAAAAATGGGCAAAGCAGTCCAAAGATCTGGGGGCCGCGAATTGTGAATTGATGCAACATAAGCCTGCTTATCTTAGGCGTGTTCTGGGGGATAAGAATGTGCTGCTCTGGAAGTCCATCCTGGATGACAACGCTTTCCCCGACAAGCAGTTGTGGGAGGACCTTCATAAGGGTTTTCGAATCACGGGTTGGATGCCTGACACCGGAATTTTCACCCGAAGGCTCAGGCCACCCACGACCAGCATGGAAGAGCTGCTGGCTCAATCTTCATACCGCACCCCCTTGACGTTGAGAGCAATCGCCAAATCCCGTGTCGATGAGGTTGCCAAGCAAGCATGGGCAGAGACAAAGGTTGAAGAGGAACGGCAATGGGTGTTCCGTGACTACAACTTTGATCCATCGAAAATCCTGCTTGCGCGCCGATTTGGT